TGGCACTAGAGAATCAAAGACTAACAAGGGCAAAAATCTTTGAAAAAAATAATTTTTTTCAAAATTTTATTAATGTGGTTAAATAGAAGTGTTTTCACCATAAAACTTTTGTATAAAACATTTTTTGATATCTCGAATAATTTTCGAGATATATCGAGAAAAACAAAAAGCCGCTCTACATATGAGAGGTGATTTCACCTCTTAGAATCGTTTTTGGGCCGCAACTATGGAAATTTCTAAATTCATCTATTTACCTCCCCCCATTATGTGTGTAAAATTTCATCAAAATCAGAATATTCGGGTTTGCGAATATTGAGGTTCTCTTGTTAGTCTTTGATTCTTTGATGCCAAAACGGCTCATTTGCGGACACGGGTTTATTGACAAAATTGGCTTGTTTTGGTATAATTTTGGGACACCCTGTATATATAGAGTAGCCCATCATTTTAAATGATGCATTGATATTCCTTCATAAAACCAAGGCTTCCATCGAAAAACAATGTTTTGTACAAAAGTTTTGTGATAGAGAGGAAGGATAAGATGGTGCCATATCGGTTTGATTTTGAATGAAGATCATGAAGTTATTTCAAGGTCATCTTCATTTTTTTAAATGGACCACTTTAATTTGCTTATATAAATCGATTCCTCGCAATATGCGGCGTAAAAAGTTATAAAGATAGAATGACCAAAAATTGAATATTACGAAATATTTTATACTTTATTAATAATATTTGACATAATTTTACATAAACTATGAAATATTTTGTAGACAATATTCATTTTTCGATTATTTTATTTCAATACTTTTATGCACAAAATAATAAAAGAAATCAATTGATGTAAAGAAAACATATAGTTGTTTTTAAGAAAAAATATATGAATTTGTAACCAGCTATATATTTTTTCTTATATATATATTTTTTTTCCTTATATACACACACATATATATATATATATATAATTTCGGATTGAGTATTACGGTCAAATGACAACATAACATCGAAGATGACTTGTGAAGGATGTCTTGTGAAGGATACGTCAATCTCTAATGCACGAGTCAGAAGTCAGAAGTTGGCCATAACGCAGGGCAGAAAGTGGAAAGGTGGACGTCGCCCGCGATATTTCAAGTCGATAAAACTTGTATAATATGTAAAATATTTATATTATATCATGCATTGTATTCGTTTCAAACAGCGTTGCAATTTTTATCATATTGAAATATTTGCTATTGATATATAAGCTATATATATAGGTTGTTAAAAAATTATACCGATAAGCTTTGAAGGAAAATAGAGGACTTCAAAAATAAACATTTTTTGTTAATGATATTTCTTTCTGTGGCGTTTCGTTTTGGTTCTTATATCGTCATATTCAAACTTTCAATAGAATAGAAGTTTTCAATGTGTTTTGACAAAGTTGTATTGTTTATCATTATGAATAAGCGATACACTCGGATAGAATTGATCGACTGACATGCATCTTACTTATAGAATAACTAATTGTAATGGACGAACAGTACAGAGCAATCAATGTTTCGACGATGTTATTTTTATATTAAAGTTAATGGAGGAATTTTTAAGCGCATTTACTGCGAATAATATATATATACACACACATATAACTTTGAAGGATAGATAGTAACTATATATATATATATATAGTTATACAGTTGCGCGAACATTTTTATAACTGCTATAATTTTCATTATTTTTTCTTTTTGCAAAGATTACTAATTATGGACGAATGTATTATTATGTGCATAAAGTTTAAAATGAATCGCTCGCATAGTTTCCGAAAAAAAAATTCATAAATATAGCCTTTTTCTAAGCCCTTGAAAAGATAATTCCCCCTTAAAAATTAAGTTAAAAAGTTGAAAATTCATCAATATTAAATAAAGTCGTGTGAAAATGATTAATCGTAATGCGAATATTTCATTTGTCGTACAACAATTGTCGGATGTGTCGATTCGCTGTTGGATAGAAAAAATTAAAACTTTTAATTTTAATGAGTTAATAATTTTTTAACTTAACTTTGAGTTAATTTTTATTTAAGTAACTTTTAACGTGTAAACTTAGTTAATTTTTGGGCCATTAACTTTAAACTTAACTTATTATTAATTAAAAAAAAAAAATTAACTTACCCAACCCTGATCCCTTATTGAAATTATCAGAAATTGAACTGACAAAAACAGATATACTTTGGATCTTATGTTAATACCGGTCCTTGAAGGCTTTATATCCATTTTATGGTGATACTTGAATACAAATTATATTAGTTTAGTCTGGCTATATATATATAAGGTGTCCCAAAAACATACGCCCAAAAGTTAACACTATATTATATAAGTTTCAAGATATTGAAAATCATTTTTTTAAATATGTAAGAAAAAATATTCAAATAAATAATCAGTATGAGTTTTCTTGCAATGTATGGGGCTGAATAGTTGAAGATTTTGTTTATTTTTGATTCTTATTTTTATACCATCTACTTTAAATGATGTAAATTATACAAACTTGTTGAATGATAACTTACCGGAACTGTTAAAAATTGTCCCATTACAAATAAGGCAATAAATGATTCATGTACACGATAGTGCACCAGCCCATTTTTCTTTAATTGCTCGCCACTTTTTAAATGTCTTGTATCCGGAACGCTGGGTTGGTAGAAGCAGTCCAATTTCTTGGCCTCCTCGTTTACCAGACATCAATCCCATTGATTTTTTTTCTATAGGTCATCTTAAAACTTTAGTTTACGCTGCAGGACCTATCTGAAATATATTGATGAACTTCGGGAGCGTATTGTAAATTTGTTTGATATTATATACAAAACTTTCTTATTATTTATAAAGATTAAGTTAGAAAAGAGTAAGGCCGGGAAAAAATAGAGATAAGAGATGTTTTTGTAACAGTATTATTATATAAATTTGTTTTTATCAGTAATCAAATAATTTCATGATTCTTCAGTTGAATATGTGTGTGGATCGATATCCTATCGCATTCATTTTTTTCATCAAACGGAGAAAATCAATAAAATCATGTAACTATTTTACATTAAAAATATATTTTTATTTTATATATCAATTCGACGTGGATAGGATACATACACATAGCTTAATTGTTTCTTTTTACATTCTTCTGTTAGTTACATGTATACTATATTTAGATAGCGAGTGACAATCATGAAGCGCATAATTTAACATTCGTTCGTTTTTTATGCACACAATCATGAATGTTTAAATAATCATCGTTTGACGATGTAAATGTTCGGTCGTGTAACGGCATATGTTTATAATAAGAAGCACATATACACATATATGTGTTAAATATTGTACATATACTTTTTAGCAAAATATATACAAAAATGCGACAGCATTTGCTGTAGTGTTCTCTAATCGGGCTTATAAACGTACCATATATATATATATATATATATATATATTTGTATTTAATGGATTGTTCATTTGGACTATGTAAATTGCATTCACCCATTTATCTACTCAAAATGCAAAATTTATTCTGCGAATGAATCTAGATGTACTTTGATAATAAGGATGTTTTCTTTCATAGTCTCAGTGAGACAGTGATTGTTATGAAATAATTATACATATTTTCAGGTACAAGATATGCTTTATATATACATTGGACGAGGATGAAACAACTAATTAAAACTGCGTTCTTGCGTGGTGTTTACATGAAATAATGTTTTGGTGTTATAATTTATTCGTCTAATATACAGGGTGTCCCCAATTTAAATGTCAAAACTTTAGGAGCGTGTAGGGGACCGATAAACTAAGACAAAAAGTCCTTTAGAGATTAGATTAGATTAGAAACAAAATTTCGCGTCGTCGCGTATTTATCTACAATCCTCTAATTTTACCTCAGTAGGATTTTAACTCTCTCTCTTTTCTTAATTCCATGTTCTACAATTTTTATTTTATAATACTTTTTGATAAATCTAATAATTTTAGTGTTGTTTTAAGATTTTTTGGTGAAAATTATTTGTTTTATTTTTTGCGATTTTCTTCAAAACGAAGCAAAAACGAGCAAATCTCTAAAGGACTTTTTGTCTTAGTTTATCGGTCCCCTACACGCTCCTAAAGTTTTGACATTTAAATTGGGGACACCCTATATATATCCTAAATTTTATGGAAGCTGATTATCACTATGTTATCAGTTTTTATTATTTTAAAATCGTTGAAAAATTTTTTCTTTAACCAATAAGATCTCTATGGAAAAAATATGTGATAATAATAATAATATCATTTTATTCGACAAAAAATAAATTATATATAATTCTATAATAGGAAATATAATAAACCATTACCTTTAAATGAATTAATTTTGCATAACTTGTACCTCTATATTTTTTGTATTTGAGAAGAAAGAAACTTTAATAGTTAAGAAAGTAATTGATATAATTAATGGTCGATATTTTTTTTTAATTTGTCCTCTCATAAAAAAAAAGATGCTATAATAATATTTATAAGTTATATAACAAATAGGACTATATATATATAGGACATAATACAAGATATATCATTACTTATTTGAATTCATTTAAAAATGACATAGTTGAAAATTTATATACTAAATTACCCAAATAGTTTAGTAGTAGGAAGTAATGTAGAAACGCCAATGAATACAAAATTCTTAAAATATTTGCCTATTTCTATTCTTATATTAAATAAATCATATTAAAATAATCGATACTTATACCATTAGTCAATTGCTGACTCTATCATTCTCTTAACTGTTTTTTCACCAAAACTAAATTTGAACATGGATAACAATACGAGAATACTTTAAAGATTTTGATAACAAAATATGCAAAACAGACAATTGCATTACAATGTACATTACTAAATGTTGATTTCAATTTGATTGGCCATCCAATTTATCATCAATATAAATATAATTTTTTCGAATAGAGAATTTTGTGTGGTAAATTTAGTGTAAATTTATCATTAAAAAAATCCAATTTTATTTCAAAAGATATTGCACATTTTTTGTGTTGTCTGTGTTGTATTGTAGCTATATACACATTGTATATAACATGTTTTGAACTAGGAAATTTATGAACTTTGCACTTACATTCAGAGACTATTATTTATGTGTAACCAAGTATTATTACACAAACGCTTCTCTGGAGGATGGGGAGAGGAGGATAATTCCATTGATACAATATTTTTAAAGATGATTCCATTGAATTAACATGCTTGAGCTGTACTCATTATCTTCTTGAATTGTTCTGATATCTAGTGCAGAAAATATATATATAAATAAGCACATGCTCTAGCACTATTAAACTGATCGTTTGATTGTTATCTGGATATTCTATCAGAACGACTCATAGCAGACCACCAATTGTATCTAATTTATAATCATACATATAATAACATAATCACAAAAATAGGTTTTGGGGTATTCTTCCTTCTTCCGCAATATTCCAGAATATATGATATCTATATAATTTGATTTCAACTTCGACATTATATCGATATCCATATGTACATAATATTCATTGAAAGAGTGCGGTAATATCCCAAATCTTAATAACACGATCCTGCCCGATAGTCAACAATCTTCTCTTAGAAGCATCTAAATCCATTCCAATGATACTGTGTTTGGCATCATGGAAAGAGGCTAGAGACAACTGGCTACATAAATCAAAAGTAAATCATTTATTACATTCATCTCGTGATATCTCCGAGAATATTTCTAAGCAGGACGTGACTTACTTTTCAGATTTGAGCTGTATATGACACTGATCGCAAACTCTTACTTCAAACTCGAAACCCATCGCCGGTATAGATATCCGTTGCGACGTGCAGCGGGCACACAACGCGCGGCCACAATAGCGGCAATGATGCTGCCTCAAGCCTAATTGTCGTTGATCCATCATTGCTTTTATATTCCAGAAAAAGGGTCTCCCACAGGCCTACAGTCATTCATTTTAAATCAATGTCGCAAATTAAATAGCGTAAAATTTTAAGATCTTGCGCAAATATACCTGACAGATGTCAGATTCAACCCAAGTTGCAGTTTCTTTCCTATTTGCTGCCATATTCCAACAAACGATTACGCCATCTTCGCCTCCGGATAAAAGCAGACGCTCATTACTCGCATAACATAATGCTGTCACTTTGTTGCTAGAAGAAAATTAGAGCAAAATAAAAATAATTAAAATATTTCTGACACATAAAAAGTCAGAACTGAAATAATTTTTTCGTGTATACTCACTGGTGCCCTTGTAGTTCATAAGCAGTGCCTTGACGACCTCCAATGTCCCAAACAATAATGCTTTGATCAAAGCTTCCAGAAAACAACAATTGTTTTTCAGAATCCCATGCTAATGTATGGATACTTCCTGTGTGTGCCTTTAATGTAGTAATGAAGGTAACACCATTATTATCCAGCTTTAACATTGCTATCTGACCAGAATAATCTCCTACGAAAGCATGTTTGGATTGGGCATCAAATCTGTATATGCATGCGAGTTAAGCTTCTCATAGAGATATATTATGATTATACTAATATAATATATTGTTTTATTTTTCTACATTGTAATAATCTTTTATTTGCAAAAATATGAAACTTTGTAAAAGGATACTGTAGAGCGGTATACCATGCATCTGTTTGATATGATCCCAATTTCTGTCCCGTCTCAGAACTGTGCAGTTGAAATAATTTATCGCGACCTATACTTAAAACCCACTCAGAATCTGGTGCAAAAATAATCCCTGTGACTCTTGCTTGATGCGCCAGATAATCACGCATAGCTGTCATTCGATTATAATCTTGTTCCAAGATAAATTCCTGTAATTGTAAATTCAAGTATATGTATGAATTACATATAATTCTAACAAATAACAGAATAAAAGTAATAATTTATCATACATTTATACTCCCATTATCCAAGCCAACAAATAACTGTCTCGTTTCTATACAATAATGCATGGAAGTAGCACCTGCTGGCATATATTGACAAATACTTGGCCAATAATGGCCAGAATCCCGCTTTAACCATACTCTAACTGTCCTATTAAAAAGAAAGAAGTTGAAAAAAAAAAATGAGTCAATAGAAAATAATATTTAAAAAAACTAAAATATTTAAAAAAATATTTTTTAGTATTTTTTTTAGTATTAATAGTACATTTTTTTATTATGAAAAATAATTATATATATCAGAATGCTTTTTTTTTTTTGCTATTACACATCAATGATTTTGAATCACGATGTAAAATAAATTCATAAAATATATCTTTTATAATATAAAAAACGTATTTTTTAAATTGTTTCTTTTTGTGCGCTTTTTAAAAATAATTTTTATTAAAGCAAAAGTGTGATTAGCTGAATCATTGTACTTAAAAAATTTTATGTGTGTGTGTGTGTGTGTGTATATATATATATATATATTAGTTTTTTAAATGCACGTATTTTTTACACGATTGTTTTAAATGCTGAATAAATTTATTTTGACAAAATGATAATTTCGGTATAATAAATAATGATATAAGCATATATATATATATACATATAAGACAGAAAGAAAAAGAAAGATAGTGTTAAAGGTGTGTCCATATAATAATAGAATTATGCGCAATTTTTACACCTAGAGTAACGAATTTAACTGTAATCGAGATAGAATTAACATTACAAAAACAACCCGTGAAGGAAAAAATACAAAATACCAACATATGTAAGAAACATTTAATTCTCAAAAATTCATGCCCCTGCATGATTAGTACCTGTCATCGCAAATACTGATTACACCCTCTTCCCGCGGAATAATAATAGCGGCATTAACATCGTCACTGCAGCCCTCCAATTTCGATAGAAGTATCGGCTTGCGACTGCTGCTGAATTTATCGTGATTTACTCCCGGGGCGGGCTTTATCTCCGCTGCCATTCTCAATTGTTCTCGACCACGCGCGAACGTAATTCCTTAATACTATTGTCATTTGACAGTTGTCAGTCTTCTTATACTGACCGCAGCTCATGCATTAATGAAGATATCTTCTTCCTTCTTCGTAAGTTGGACTTGCACCATAGTATAAACATAGACTACGTCATGATGTAAGAAAAGGTGTACCATTGCGCATAATGGCGGCCGAATTTGCAACAACCAATCAAATTTTTGCCCCAAAAGTTGCCCAAGATTCAAATGTAGTATTTTTGAAAATTAGAATTATAAATTAATATGACATTATAACATTATATTTATTATAACATTTTTTTATTTTTATGTACATTTTCTTTGTTACACAATCGAAATATTTTCTCTCTTATTTCCTTTTCTCCGTTGCCGATTGCCTTCTGATTTTCTCGGAGAAAACGAGAATTTTTGAATTCGTCAGCGAGCACTTTTTTTTCTCCTAACTTAACTTGTTGTCAGGGAAGCTGCCATGTTGCTTTTCATGATTTGGGGCAAATCTCTGATTGGTCGAAGAGTAGCCATTATTTTGAACCACTGCGCATCCTCGGAAATGGTACACCTTATATTCTTACATCATGGACTACGTTTACACGTCATTCTAAAGCCCGTATCAGACTACGTATTGAAGATCGAAATTTGACCAATCAAGATAAAAAAAACTAAAATTTCCTTGTCCTGATTGGCCAAATTTCAATCTCAATGCATAGTCTAAAGGTACATTTTCACGAGCCGCTGAGATCGATTGTTTGAGCGATAAAAAGGATCACGTGATATAAATGGACGAATCATTGGTCGTCACTCATTCGTCCATTTCGATCACGTGATCCTTTTTGTCGCTCAAACGATCGATTTCAGCGGCTCGTGAAAATGTAACTTTATATAAAAAAATGTTACAGATGTTACGTCTCGACAATGCTCTTTTCTTACTATACATCAGTTAGTGAGAAAGGGATAGCTCTCTATTTTTTATAGGGCAACCTGCTTCCACCGGCTATACCCCAGGGACGCCGAGAGCTAGGACTGATCTGGTGGATTCTAGGGGAATGACGTTAGGCACGGAACTAACCTTTTACTAGAGTGTTTTTACTGAAAATTAGGAGAAAATATCAACTATTTATAAGAATTGGAATTAGGTGGAATTAAAATGGTTTTATTAAGGGATCGGGTTTTTAGTTATGGAAAAGAAGTTTTTGATTAATATCAATACTAGATTTTATTGTTTCATACGATCCTAAATTTTAATTCAAAGGGGAGGTCTAAGGTATAGGAAAAATGCCGATTGAGGGCATACTTTGATGCTCGATAAACGATAGTCGTCAAGGGCAAAATGTGCTCGACAACGATGAAAATTTGGGAAAAGGGAGGAGTGTCGTCAGGGCAATAAGGCTCGGCAACCGGGTTTCAAGAGCTGTTGTCAATCAAGGGCTCACTATGAGCTTGATAGACGATAGTCGTCAAGGGCACAATGTGCTCAACAACAATGGAAATTCGGAAAAAGAGAGGAGTGTCGCCAGGGCAATAAAGCTCGGCAACCGGGTTTCAAGAGTTGTCGTCAATCAAGGGCTCACTATGAGCTCGATAAACGATAGTCGTCCAGGGCACAATGTGCTCGACAACGATGGAAATTCGGAAAGAGGGAGGAGTGTCGCCAGAGCAATAAACCTCGGCAACCGAATTTCAAAGGTTGGACCACGTCCGGGTGACAACAGCAGAATAGCCGCTAAGCGAAATCTAAATTTGTCTAGTATTGACAATAATAATAGTAAGAATAATAAGGATGTTTCAAGTGATTGCAGGAAGGTAGAATGTTGATTATTAAAGTTGACTGACTAGGAAACTGTCAGCAACGTGCAAATGCTTGACAGGGATTTCTTTTATTGTTAAAAGTGACGGAATAGGAACTGAGATAGTGGTTTCCCTGCCGAAAATGGTCGATTAAAACGGATTAAAAAAAATGTAATCCGAATCGATCGGGATTTCTGCACCGAAAATGCGGTATTAAAACCGATTGAAAATAGTCAAATCGAATTTAGTACGCTTTAGGCGAGGTTAATGTTGGATGATATATCTCTACCTCAATGCGAAATTATACGATTTCATAAAGTTATAATTAAACCTGTTTTAATGCAATTGAATTGGGATTTATCATTGTCAATCCATAGGTAAAAATAATCCCTTTTAATAAAAAATTTTATTATTTTGCAGATGGAAAGTAAAGAAGTCGGATTTGCTGTTATCATGAGTCACAATTAATTATTGAATCGGTGTTTCTGCAATTGAAACGGACTCAGTTGTTAAAAACAAATATACGAATTCTCCGCAGAGGGTCCGCCTTATATCCCCGCTTGACCGCTTTCTACTTCCAGGTTGGCTCGCTCAACCTTCGCCGCGTAGCGGCGCCGCCCGGGACTACGCGCGGACGCGCGAGCGCGTGAGCCGCCAAGTTGCGGGTGCAAGTAATCTTTCTTTTAGCTCAATGTACTTTATACTTGCTTAAAGCCTTTCCTTTCTCATATACATACCTCGGTCGTGGATGAGATAGGCTAGGTTGACGTAGACAGGTGTATGTTCAAAGTCTTTATTCTTGACTTATACAGGTTGAGCTTATGAATCTATCTGACTGACTGATTGAAAATGAGAGACACGCGGTTGCGTCTGAGAGACTGAGACTAAGACGGTAAGAGACTACGGAGACTACTGACTATTGACTACTACTCTACTACCGGTACTACTACTGATACTATCGGTACTACTGACTTGACGGTGAAAATCTACATCTTATATACTATTGAGAACCAAGAGCGTTGCGAGCCGTGTGCAGATCATTCTGAGAATTTAGTTTACGTTCTGGAAATTCATTACGGTGAAGATTTTCTATGGAAATCTATGACGGAAATATTTCTAAGTATTGCCCATCGATTAGCGGTAAATCCTTATCGATTGTTTATGTCTTGGCGTCTATGTCGCGGATCTATTGGAGCCGCCATGAATCTGCACGCCTGCTTATCGCTCGCTGTCTCGGATAGTTTTACAATAGTATAATAC